CCCTGCGCGATGCTGTCGCAAGGCTAACTACTCGGAGTTCCCTAACACCGACCGCGAGATGCAGATTACGGCAGCCGCCTTAGCGGGGCCCGCGGACGCCGAGCTGCACCGCTGCTCCCTCATCACCGAACCCAACATGCGACTCCACTTTCGCATACGCTTACGTGAGATGCACATCCTCACCGACGGCATCTCCCATTCCCATGTCTCTCTGTACGGGCAAATCTAATTCAACGAGCCAGGGTGGGTGTTCGAGAACGCCCTCAGTGCCCTCCATCGCCGCGTTGACGCAGAGCGTCTGCTGTTTGTTGTCTCGGAATTTCTGAGCGGGGCCTGGGGGCAGGCTTTTGAACCCCTTTCTTCGTGCTGAGTTCTCTCCTATCCAGACTTTGGTTATTGTTCTAGTGTCGCTACCTGCATCTACTTCTGCTTCTCCTCTGCCGGTGAAGTCCAGCACGTGTGCTTGGTAGAACCAGCGACGCGGCGTGTGGATGTGGCCGAAGCAATGCAGTCGTGGTTGCGCCCTTGCGATGGCGCGGCGTAGGTGCTCGCAGCCTGCGCTTTGGTCGTCAGAGGTCGTGTCTAGGATGTATTTTGGGGGGCCGTGGGTCATGACGATGTCGACGTCGTTGGGGATGGTCGAGGTCTCGGTACCGACGTTCTTCGCCCACGGTGGAGTGCCCGAGGGATTGAAGCGGTCTTCGTTCGATGGGTACTGGAATGCCGATGCGCCGTAGAGGGGCGTGTATGGTGAGGCGTATATCTTGAATGTCGCGCTACATGCTAGGGTGAAGGTATGTGTGCCTTCTCGGAGGAAAGTGATGCCGTTTCTACTTGCTTCGGAGCCTGCATCTGAGCTCACAAGCGCCTCCGCTCGTTCTGCGTCCGCTTCAGTTCCGCCCTGGGACACCCAGTATGGTTTGTCGAGCGAGATGTCGTGATTTCCAGCGATGACAAGCTTCAGCTTGGCTTCGACTTTGCCCAATGTCTGGAGGGCCGCAGAGATGCTATCCGGCGTGCCATCTTCTGTCAGATCGCCACAGTGTAGGAGTACATCGCATGGCGGGAGATTCACCGGTAGTTCAGCCCCATGCGTATCTGAGAGTATGAGGAAGCGGACGGGCGTCGAGAGAGTATGTGCGCCTTCAAATCGAACACGTTTAGCAGGTCGCATAGATTTCATCGTAGAGTGCAGGAGTTTCAAGACGGTGAGATGTGTTAAGGAAGTGTCTAGAGGTGCTAGAGTATGAGCGAATGGGCAGATTCTTACATTCTCTCATTTATGTAGACATAAGCGGCAGTGTGTGAGACACATCTAATAAATTTGCATGTTTGTCGCGAACCAAGGTTGAGAATTGAGCTAGCCAACACTCACAATCGACACAGAGGCACCTTATACAAGAGCAAGATTGCGATGACCCAGAGGCGACCCAGAGACGACGAGCCAACCACACCTCCCGCATTCCATATGACTCATACGCGAGGAGATACTCTACGAAAGAGAGAAGTATCGCATCTCCAAGAATCTCTACAAGAGCAAGAATGAACAGGTCTGCAGACTACATCAAGACAAAAACGTGCAAAGTAGGTAACCTAAAGTCATTGTAGGCTCCCGAGGTCTACGTTGTCCAGATTTTCCATAGGTCAATGTAGAGGCACGAAAGTATGCTTAGTTTTCATGGGCTTAACAAGGCTATCATCAAAACTACCAAAATGGTCGATCAGTGCGGACAATGGCGTTTGATTATTGTCATCTACTAATACAAGTATCGAAAGTATCGTAAAACAGCATAGGTATCAAGGAAGACATCGCCATTGACCGCCCAAGGGAGCGACTGCTCCATTATCAATTAATCCAAATGATCCACCATCACCGCTTGCAAACCTACAAGCTAGCGACAAGCGCCGGCAGCACACTCCTGCTAGTGTAAGCCCAGCTGCTAGAGCTATCGTGCGCCCTCCACGCAGCGCCAGTCCAGAAAGTGTTGCGCTTGCTCTGCAGAGCATACAGATCCTTGTAGAAGCCGTTCTTGGTAGCCTCGCCACCGACCATCATGTTGTAGGGGCTGTGGTTGCTGAAAGCGACAATCTCGGGCTCGGGGCCGGTCATGTTGTTCATAGCGTGGAAGCGCTTGAGGTCCGCAAGGATGGCAGCCTGGGCCTCCTCATCGCTGAGGTGCTGGCCGACCTTGGTGCCGTAGAAGACCTGGTTGAGTGTAGGGTTGACGGTGGGGAAGACGTTGTAGATGGCGGGCATGGGTGGCAGCGCGTATGGCTTGTCAAGTGCGAGGTTGTTGAGGGTGACGTTGGTGGGAGCGGCGTGCCTGATGATGGCGGTGTAGTAGCCGACAGATGTGAACTGGCTGAAGATCTTCATCTCATCACCGCTGGGATCGAACGGAGTGAGGTTCTCGGGCGTGGGCGGAATGGCCATGAGGATCTTCTTGGCTTGGATGAGACGCTGGCCCTTGGGGGTATCGACGAGGACCTTGACGCCGCCGTCGACCTTGCTCACGCGCGCGGTTTTTCGGACCCTGGAGGATAGGAGTACAGAGTTGGAGGCAAGCAGCTCGGCAGTGAGTGCCTCGAAGAGCATGCTGTTGTTCATCACCGAGCTGGTCTTGAAGCTCTGCATGGTCTTCAGGAGACCGAGAGACATGGTGCGGATCTGCTGGATGGCAGGAAGCTCGAGGATGTCACCAAAGGCGGAGGTGAGACCGAAGATAGTCTGTACTGCATCCGCGATATCGTACTTCTGGACGAACTGGCCGAACGGCATGTAGAGGTCCTCGGGAACGGGGTTGGGGAGGTAGAAGCCACCCTCAAGTTCAGGCCACTGTGCGATAACGGCGCCGTACTTCGCGAGAGCAACAGCTAAAGCTGTTTGGTTGGCTGGAGGGAGACCCTGCAACACCTGACCAGTCCTGAAGTCAACCTGCTGGGTTGGGCCGGTAGGGAACGGGCTTGCTGGGCCTAGAGTGAGGTTGAAGCGTGCGAACCACTGGTGCACCAAAGGTTCGTCATGGTATAGCTTCACTCCCATGTCGATGGGGAATCCAGTCTCGAGGTCCATGTAGGTTTCGGTGTGACCTCCAAGGCGGTGCGAGCTCTCAACAACCACGACCCTCTTGCCCATGTCCTTGAGCTGGATGGCAGAGTAAGCACCCATACCTCCACCTCCGATGATGACAACATCAGTGTCAATAACCTGCTCCGGGTTGTAGTACCTAGCCTCCATCTTGGACGACCTGGGGGCTGCCATAGCGAAAGGAAGGGCGACCACCGCCGCGGCGGTGATTGAAACGAATGAACGCATGATTGGATTAGTCTTGCAAGAGAATATGAAAGCTGAAAGAGCGACTGAGGTTGGTGATCGTCTGGCATACCAGACCTATTGTATTTATATTGCCACAAGCATGGCCGACGTATGTGCGGTGGCTCTTCCAGTTCGGTCCTACTGTGTGGATCGAGGTGTAATCAAAGTAGGACCGCGCATTCGGAAGAATCGACGACAAGCATCGCTACTAGCTTTGAATGGGGCGTCAAGAGTCCATTTACAAGGGGAACAGTCCAGGATGTGTGCTGTAGTGCTGATGGGCGCTGTAGGGCTACTGCAATTCGAAGCAGAATAAAGGAGTACTAGAAGTTCGTATAGCCTACCAGTCATCGGCTTGTTCCACAATCATGTGAGCTTGACGTTGAAAAAGAACGGGGCGTTCAACGGCTACATGGCGTTACCCGGAAGCCTGTATGACGCTCACGGTTTGTGGTGATATTCCTTAGTATCGGTGCGCCAGCTTGGGCATCCTGCCACGCCATTGATCACCATGTGGTGTTGGCTCAGGACCACTTCCCCGGATCGGAGTCGACACCATGATAAATTTCGCCGCTAGCTCATTGCTGGTGGAGATACTGTACTGATGTTAAGGCTGACGCTGACCACGCTTAAAGCGCCGCGTTCGGGGCGTTCGTCCGCGCTTAGGACGTGTTCGTGGGCCGTTGAGGCTCTCGGCACTACCAGGGTTCTCCTTGAAATTCTTGGAGCGTCGATGATTGGTGAGGAAACAGAGAGGTACACTTCAGTCTTCGTACAGCCATGCGGAAGTCGGCACCTCTTTTGCTTACATTATGTCTGTGAGACCTCGGGAGAATTCGTTCTTGATGTTTCGTACGCAATTGACGTTCTGCGAAGGCTCTATCCTGTGATGCACGAAGCCTCCGCAGAGATCCGATATAGAGCATTGATGAATTTCCTGGTTAGCACCTACCAATCATGATTTGCTGCAGAACATAGCTTGTTCTGATACGTAAGCGCAAAGCTTGATGTATGCCGACTGATGATCTCCTGAAAGTAGGACACCCAAACCTCATTTTGGGACGCACCTAACGCGTGGCCAAGCCAAAGGTGGCTGTGAAAGTGGATTCGTGGTGTTGATGGGTCGTTGGAGGCTACGGCAAAAGAGAGGGTTAATAAGGTAGCCTCGCTGACGCCCACGCCCACCTGGGCAGTTGCCAGCGATGGCACGTGCGTGAACAGATCACAAGTGTAATGCGCCGGTACATCACAGCGCGAAGATAAAGCCAAGCTACCGAGACGCCGTGTAAGATGACGATCGCTTCACGGTCGCTCTCTGTAGTCATCCGAGTGTGCCTAGATCCTGCTTTCCATGTTCGAGGGTGTAAGACCTAACAAATGCCGGCACTAAGATGCCATTGCAGCGACCGCCTGAAGCAATTTCAACATGTAGATGAAAACATCAGAAACCAATGGGGAACTAGTAAGATGGCTTTAGATGCGAGATTGGTGGTATGATGCTGCCCAGATGGGTCGCAGATTGTGAACCAAGGATGATGGTAGCGGCAACGTGACGGCGCGTCATTTTCGAGAACCCCACCAAAATTTGAGCGCGCCTCTACACTCCCACAACTGCTGGATCGCATTACGCAGATGTCGACGCCAAGACAACCGCAAGCCCGCTTCGACATATACCACAACGAAGATGTCGTTATTTGGTGGTAGCGCTCCGCCACCGCCCTCCTCCTACGAATCCACAACCTCATCGTCTTCATCGGCGCGCTCGTCGCCGTCAGTCGAGGAGATCCCGGACCCGCGCAACGTGCAAGAAGCACAGACTCCCGCTATCCCGATTTCTTTAGACGTGAACGATGACCTGGATACCGATAGCGAGTCCGCACGCGACGAGTCTGAAGAAGAGGACGACGACAACGAGGTACCGGCGCGCCCGAATCGCTTTGACGGACCGCCGCAAACATGGCAGAGCTACACCGAAGCGGATCGCCAGATAGCCGACTCCCTCGATCAGCTGCAAGAGACAGATCTTGCAGTACACTTGTATAATGCGCATGCGCTCAAGCGGCGGTTACGACGAGCGCCAGAAGACACGGCGAAGGTCAAGAACTGGCAGAATAGGGACAACTGGCTCAAGACTGGGCAGGATCTGGAATACGTGGATGCGGCAGGATTTACGCAGACGGCGGTTGTACCTCCCAAAGACTGGACGGCATGGCCAATCCCTCCAGACGAAGAGCCTCCGAGCGACCATGTGGACGAATGGACTACGGGACGCGCAAGCATGGAGGATGCAGGAGACGACCTGCGGGAGGAACTTTTAGCTGTTTTTATGCGGCTGGCGAAAGAGACGTGGAATTCACGCGAAACGCCTTCGTCTGACTCTGAGGTTGGAAACGACACAGCAGCTTCACGAAGTAGATCTCGATCACAAAGCGCGGATACTGCGAAACCGAACAACAAGCCCAGGGCACAAGCCACGACGGACGATGTCGAGGACGGCAATGATACCGAACGCGATCAGGCGACTGGGAAGAAACGTGGCAGAAAACCTCGCACCGAGAAACTCGTGGAGCCGACTCTGTTAGCAGACGACGCTAGGGCACAGCGACTTCTCCAGCCGACAATACACAACATGATGGGGAAGCTAGACGAGCTTGCCCTAGCCATTCGCCGAACGCGCGTCAATCACTTTGGTCGTGGTGAGCCAGGCGATTCTTCCATGAGCGAATACACTTCAGGTGCCGAGTCGAGCGGTCCGAGATCAAGGTCTACATCGAGAGCCCGATCGAAGAGTGCGACAAGCCGCAGATCTAGCACTCGACCACCTTCGCGCGCAACGTCTACGGAGGCCGACCGCACAGTACGACAAAAGACAAAAGCCGCCCGAAAGGCAACAAATAAACGAGAGCCCGCCAATGACGATGATATCTCAAGCGGAGGATCTGACTGGGAAAAGTCCAATAAGATCCCTCGCGAACGGAAGCGCCGCAGATCCTCAAGCAGCATGGGCGATAGCGATAGTTCAGGAGGAGAAGGGATACTAAGAGAAGGGCTTTTGGACTGGAGTGAAGTGCTTGGACTAGCAGCAGTGCAAGGCTGGAACGAAGGAGCTGTCGCACGTACGGCCCAGCGCTGCGCAACTCTATTCGGCGAGGGCATGTCTTTCATGCCCTTCCACGAAGTCCTTGCAACAAAAGCCGCTCCCGAACCAGTATCCTACGCACCTTCGACCATACCGCCTCTGGTCATCCCCTCGATCTCACAGCCTCCGCCACCCAAACGCCCCTTCTTCCAAATCGGCACACTGCGCTGCCCGCATACGGATTGCTGGAGGCACGAGGAAGACTTCCCGTTAGCCTATCGCGCGGTCGAGCATTGCATGCGAGTTCACGGCTACGACCCTAGAACTAATGACTCTGATAATGAAGAGCGGACGGTTGGTGGTGTGCATATTGATGGGTTCTTACATCCTATTACGGCGAAGCAGGGATGGTTGGGGAATGGGAGGGCGAAGGCTGGGAAGGTTAGTAAGAGGGCGAGGACGGGGCAGAGTAGTAGTCGGGGGGTTTCGGAGGCGGCTTTGAGTGCTGGGGAGTAGTAGGATTGCCAATTGTAGAGACGCGCTCGTTGCAAAGCAACGTTGAAGAATCATCAACTCGAGCCAGCAATGATACCAATGACACTATCCACATTACTATCATACCGCTAGCATTGAGTCCCTTTTTCGCTTCCAAAGTATCGCATAGTACCCCACATGATTTCGCGCGGGAGCTATGCTGAACTGAGCTAGCGTGATAGCCAGCCTCGCGATTTGGCGCGTTGGCCCTTACGGAGCGCGACTTTCCATCATCGCGCCACCCCACGCATCCTACTAACTCACCCTCATTGGCCATTTCCATTCAGCCATACAGCAATATTCCTATTGTCTTCCATTCTTTATGCTTCGTTAAGGAGGCCATTTGAATCATGGCATGGCGTGATGGCCCACGTCATGAGCCTTCCGATTATGATCGCATGGCCGCCGGTAGGTGCCTCCTCTCTCCAGTTTGAAGGATGAGCTGACCATTTCAAGCTATGAAGAGTGGTCTAGACGGCCATGGTGTTTTTCATTGGCAAAGGGATAGTTTCTCTCCTGCTGCCGCTACTGGGTTTTCTTCACAGTGGTACATGCAGCAACCCATACCGCAGCATCCAGGGTATCCTCCACCACATTTTGCATCACCACATTCGGAGTATCCCCCACCACGGCACACGCAGGTTCCTATATTACAGCACACACAACTTCCACCGCAGCACGTGCACCATGCTATACCACAATATATGCAGTTTCCACCTCAACATGCACAAAACCCCATAGCGCAGTACGCCCAGCAACCCACATCGTCGTACCCACAAAGCCCTGCATTGCATCGCGCACCCCACCTGGCCACGCCTTTCGATTACTCGACGCACTCTCCTACAAATACATTCTTACCGCCAGTATCAAATAAGGAGAACACAGCGCCCATGGCTTCATACGGAACGAACGACGCATCGGCGCAGATATCGCGAAAGAGGAAACTCGAGGAGGACAATCTCAGCGCATCCAAAACGCGAGCAAGACAACAATCCCCATCAATGAGCCTCGGACCGCAGCGTGTGATCCACAATCATCCCCGACCCCACAGCGCTTCGTGGACGGGAACCCAACACAGCCCTGTCGAGACACCTTCGAGCCCAGAACAGCTACCAAGAGGAAGGTCATCGAAAATCCGCGATCGTCCGCCAACACCCCATGCGCGTGTGGTTCCTCGTACGCCTCCGTCCCCAGAGTCGCCTTTTCATCAGTTGTATACATCTGGACCCGGCTTTCCTTATATAACACCATCACCTTCAGAGCGCTCTCATGGATCTGCGCATTACAATACATCACCATCGGTACCACCGCAAAGTGAAAGGCAGTCGCAGCATGCAACGAACTCTTCTACATCGAAACCTCCGCGATCGATCCTTAAAACCTCAAATCTCCCACCCAACCCTATGCTGAACACTTCTGCGGCCCAATCCAAAATCGAATTGACCGAAGAACAAAAGGAGGTGGTGCAATCGATCGTGGATGGCCACAACGTGTTCTTCACTGGGTCTGCAGGTTGTGGAAAATCCACAATCCTCAAGGCTTTCGTCTCATTACTTAGAGCACAGGGAAAGAAAGTACAGATTATTGCGCCGACCAATATCGCTGCGTACAATGTCGGTGGCCAGACACTGCACACTTTTGCGGGATGGAAAGTCATCCCCCCCGACAAGAACAAGAAGGGACAGAAACAGGAGGGACCGAAACAGCACGCACAGACACTGGACGCTCTGAAAGCTGCTTCTCTCAGGAAGGAACAGTTTGAGAAATTCAATGAAGTTGACGTGCTTGTCATCGACGAAATAAGCATGGTCCCCAACTCTGATTTCGAGCGATTGAATGAGGTTATGAAGTACAGCAGATCTAGAAAACGTAATGGTGAACGACCGTTTGGTGGTGTTCAGGTCGTGGTTACCGGAGACGTGAGTCGCACCATGGAGACTTGTCATATCCACGCTGATCATTGTAGTTTTTTCAACTTGCCCCCGTCAACCCTTTCAGGCATTGTCTAGGATGTGGCGTTCCGCTTGAATCTAAGGACCAACATGATCCACTGGAACACAGACGTGTTTGCGTGACCAAGAAATGTCGCTACATCTCCTGGCGAATGGCAGAAATGTGGGCCTTTTGCAGTGAAGCATGGCAGGTGTGTTAAACATCCACTCTGTTCCCTACTGCTGTAAAGATACACTAACGCAAATAGGAATGCAACTTCAAACACATTAATCTTACCAAGATTCACAGGCAAAGCGACAAGAGATTTATCTCTATTCTACAAAGGATCCGCAGAGGTAATCTTTTTCTCCACATCGAAATGCTGCTTTGACACTATAATTGTGACGAGGGGCAACAAACTAATGCGTATCAGATGGTCAAATCCTCGCGCCCCACGGACGGGTCCTCCTCAACCATCCAAATGAGGCAAAAAACGCCATTGAACTACACTCGAAACGTTACAAAGTGGAATATAGAAACAATCAAGCTATCGAGGCGATTAAAGGACGGCCAGAATTTCAATATAAATGCGTGGATCATTTTCAACAAAATGATCTTGGAGACGCGTCTTTGGCGGATTATAAAAAGGAAAGCAATGCGCGTCCTGGCTGTTTAAAACGTTTGGTATGATATTTCAGCTGCCTTTCGGGATATCACTAACGATTCCGACAGGAAGACTCCCGCTACGAGGCATGTGTGCGTATCAAAACAACTATGCGTGTGATGTTGGTGGCCAATATTGACCCCGCGAAGGGTCTGGTGAACGGTTGCCAAGGTACTGTCAAACTTTTTGAGCCATTCGACCGCCGCAAGCTGCCATGTAAAGACGGCCCTCTTGGTTCTTATATAGAGTCTCAGATCGAGCTCCACGCCGATAGGAATCCGTACAAACCATGGCCAATTGTCGAATTCGACAATGGCCAAGTGAGGACGATCTACCCAGACTGCGCTGTCACCGAGGTCACAAGCTATGGAGAGAATGGAAAAGACAAAATAACCAACCTGCTATCCAGGACGCAACTCCCACTCGTGGCGGGCTATGCCATCACAGTGCACAAGTCCCAAGGCATGACGTTAGATCCTGTTACTGTCGATCTCTCGGAGGCCTTTGAGGGAAGCCAGATCTACGTTGCTCGTAAGTAATACTACATCTTTCGTTGCGGGACACGAGCTAATTCCCCGAATAGTCAGTAGAGCACGCTCGCTCAAGGGGCTCAAAGTTTTGGCGCTTCCGAAAAACAACAATCTTCGTGCCGATCCAATAGTCAGGAGGTTCTTCGATACCTACCTTGACCCGACTTCGCCGCATTATGCAGGTCAAAGACCGCAAGCGTCACAGGCGGCGCCTCAGTCCTTGGAGATGGTCCAGTCTTCGCAGATGCCTTCGTCATCGTCATTGCCCCAATCTTCGCCAACGCCGCAAGCGCCACAGACCTCCGAGTCATCGACGTGGTTGAAAGCACTACAGGCTTCTCTGGCATTGGAAACTCCTCCTTTATCGCAAACACCCCCGTCGTCGCAAGTGCCTCCTTCCTCTCAGTTCTCGGACGCATCGCAGGAGTGGTTGTAATTCTCAGCAGCCCCGTCGCTGAGATTATAGGTTCCTCTGTTGCGTATCATTCACTTCTTTTCTTTTGTTGAGAACCGTCCGCCTTTTGCGCGTTTCCATTTATGGACATGGTAGTCTTTTGGCTGAGCCATCTAGGTGTCCGCATATACCCCATTTGTTGGTGATCGTTGGATACGACATTTGTACTTTAGAAATGCATTCCTATTCTTCATCATGGTCATAAAGGTGGAAAAGCATCATATATTTGTCAATACAAACTACATGCACGAAAGTGAAATGGGTATCAACTTTGGAAGGAAATGTCTCATAGCCATGACCAACCTCGCGCTCCAGGCGGCATTTTACTCCGTCTTGCGGATGAGACCTTCACCTGGCTTCACGCGCTGTGCCCACTCGGTCCAACTGCCGTCGTATAACCGTCTCTGCTGTGTGGGAAACCCAGCTTCCGACAACGCAGCATCGATGATTGCTGCCGTAACACCAGTTCCACAGCTGTTTATGATTGGCTTGGACGGATCTACGCCTTTCGACTTGAAGATGGCTTGGAGTTCGGAGGCAGGGAGGAGCGTCTTGTCGTTCGGGTCGAGGAGGTCTGTGATTGGGACGGAGGTGGAGTAGGGAATGTGTCCAGATGAG